TCAATTCCAGTCAAGGGCACATGCTTGGGTTGCGGGCTCGATCCTCAGTGGAGGGGAAGGAAGGAGGCAGTCGATCAATGATTCTCTCTCATCATTGATGTTTCTATCTCTATCTCCCTCTCCTTTCCTCTCTGAAATCAATTTTTAAAAAATGTAATGATGTAGGTAATGATGTTATTTAAAAAAAAAAAAAAAAAAAAAAAAAAAAAAAAAAAAAAAAAAAAACCTCTGATGGTCATTACCAAGGCTTTTAGAATGCAGTTTGTCATTTGCCATGGACATGACCACAAAACATTTCCCCAATAGGGTTTTGTTTTTGCTTTTTTGTTTTTTTTTCTGCTATGTTGACAACATAGCATTCAGCCTACTGGAAATTTCACTAACCTTAATCTGCATTGCCAGATCGCTGTCCACTCTAAATCTAACACACACTCTAGGAGGTGTTTGGGACAGCCGTTGGTAATCAGTGGGATTTGATGATGGCCATTGTCTAGCTGATCCTTCTCAGTTCCCAGACAACTTGGGATCCCGATAATCTCTGTTCCTGCTATATAGGACTGACTGAGATGGCATCCGATTGAGCAAAAAAAACAAAAGGGAGTAAAATGGTTAAGACTCAAGCCCAGGAGGGATTAAGGCAGTGGAAGAACTCAGAACATGTGAAATCCCTTAAGTAAATAAAAGTTTATTAGTCAAAACCGGTTTGACTCAGTGGATAGAGCGTCTGCCTGCGGGCTGAAGGGTCCCAGGTTTGATTCCCATCAAGGGCATGTACCTTGGTTAAGGGCACATCCCCAGTAGAAGCAACTGGTCGATGTTTCTCTCTCATTGATGTTTCTAGTTCTCTATCCCTCTCCCTTCCTCCTCTCTGTAAAAAAAATCAATAAAATATATATATTTTTAAAAAGTTTATTAACTTAAAAAATAAAATTAAAAAAATAAATAAATAATAATTAAAAAAAAAATCACACCTCTGCTTCCTTGATGTGAGATGAAAAGGCTGTTTAAATGCCTCTCCGGGTTGGCTGGGGGCAGGGCCTGCACTAACAGCTGGGGAGCAGAGCTCAGGCCCACCCAGCCACACCCCATAACAGGTTAGTAAACGCTGCTCCCTTCCTCCAAGGTCCTGAGGCTGGTGTGTGAAATGTTAGATGACAGTTGTTAAAAGGAGCAGGTTCAGGCTCAGAAACTCTGCTTAGCTCCCCAAAACCTCAACCTGTCCGGCCAGTCCCGCCCTGGCCTCACGGGCTGCCAACTGGCCCGCTACAGACGTGCTGTACGCCTTCATGTCCTGGGGTTTTCAGTACCTACACGCGGCTCCCTGCACACAGTTCTGTGCCTGTGTGTCCCAGGGCACCCCGTCTCCATCTCCATCACCCTGCATCTTCCTACTTCCTTCATAGCACTCACCTGAGAGGATGCTACTCGTTTATGTTTTCTTGGTCATTGGCCGTCTCCCTTAGAGTGCTAGCTCTCTGACCACAGAAACTTTGTATTGTTCACCACTTTTCTTTTAAATATATTTTTTTATTGATTTTTTACAGAGAGGAAGGAAGAGAGACAGAGAGCTAGAAACATCGATGAGAGAGAAACATCGACCAGCTGCCTCCTGCACACTCCCTACCGGGGATGTGCCTGCAACCAATGTATATGCCCCCGACCAGAATTGAACCTGGGACCTTTCAGTCCACAAACCGACGCTCTATCCACTGAGCCAAACCGGTTTCGGCATTGTTCACCACTTTCTTTGACAAAACAGAAATGTTTGCGGAGTGCAAGAGGGAAGGAATAATGGAGCATGTGCATGTGTGTCTTCCAAAGGACTTGACAGGCTGGTTGGTGGGACAGCTTCAGGGAGAAAGGGATCAGAGTCCATCCTCCCTATGGGCTCTTCCTGTGGCTGTCACCTGTAACACATATGATCTTCCATCTTTTATTTCTCTCTCTCTCTCTCTCTCTATATATATATATATATATACATATATATATATATATATACACATTTATGCGTGCACACTCGCGAATGCACACACACACACACATATCTCTGAACGCATAATAATCTGGCCACCAGAGAATATCCTATATAAAAAAAGGCTAATATGCAAATTGTCCCCTCCTCTTGGCCAGGCCAGACCCTACCCATGCACAAATTCATGCACTGGACCTAATATATATATATATATATATATATATATATATATATATATATACTGAGTAGCCAGATTATTATGTGTTCAGAGATCATAAAAATCTGGCCACTCAGTGAATGAGTGTGTGTGTGTGTGTGTGTGTGTGTGTCCCTATCTCTCTTTTAAAAAAATATATATTTTTTACAAAGAGGAACAGAGAACTAGAAACATTGATGAGAGAGAAACATCAACCAGCTGCCTCCTGCACATCCCAGACCGGGGATGTGTCCACAACCAAGGTACATGCCCTTGACTGGAATTGAACCTGGGACCTTTCAGTCCACAGGCTGACACTCTATCCACTGAGCCAAAACGGTTTTGGCTCTACCTCTTTAATTGGGGTTTTGGTTACTAAGGTAATATATGCTCATTAGTTTTAAAAACACAGAAGTAAATCAAGTAACTGAACATAAACTGTGCACCTATGGATGAGGACAATGGGGGATGGGGAGGGGGCGGAGGGTGGGGTGGGAACCTGGTGGAGGGGGGAAGAAATGAGGAACCTTTGTAATAATATGAACAATAAAGATTGATTTAAAAAAATAAAATAAATAAAAAATATAAAAAAAAAGAAGTAAATCAAGTAAACGTGGACTTTCAATCTCTTCTCCCAGCGCCTCTCAGACAACACGGGTAGCACCTGGCTGCATGCCCTTTGTCCTCCCTCCCTCCCAGGCGCCTCCGCCTCCTCATGAAGACCAGCTGCCCCGTCAGGAACATCTCTTCTTCTCTCCCCGTTTCAGAGAAAGAGCCTCTCTGTCCCGAGCCTTCCGGAAACAAATGCCAACCCTGACCATCCCTTGTGCTTTGGGGGCCCCCACCCTCCTCTCCACAGACACAAAGCACAGCACACACTGCGGGCTTGGGGAGCCTTTGTGTCTGGGGCCGTGCATCCGGGCAGAAACCGAGGTGAGGGCGCCTTGGAAGAGCCACAGGGACCAGCCAGGTCAGAGCAGAGCATGAAAGAGCTTGCAACCAACCACAGGCTCTGGAACAGGCAAAAGAACTGCTTTGGGGGAGTTACACGTTCCAGAGCTTTTGATAAGAGGCTGGCCATGAGGTGTCTTGGGTGTTGGGCTACTTCAAGCCAAGAAGCAGGAAAGTAGCGAGGAGGTGGGAGATGGGGCCCTCTGGAGAAGGAGAACCGGGGGGGGGGGGGGGGGGAGGCAGGTGAGTGGAGGCAGCCCGGGGACTGGCAAAGGGGAAGGAGCAGCCTCAGGGGCCAGCCTCTGCAGGGCAGCTGCGTCCGGGCTGACCGACGGTGCAGTGGTGAGGATGCAGACACAGGCAAGGGCCATGGCTTGTGAGTGACGTTGGGGATGGGAGGCACCCCTGCACCACCACCTGGACCACCTGTAGGAAGTGGCAGCCAGAGAGCATCTTCCTCTGTGGACTCATGACCCTTTCTCACCCATGGGAGCAAGGGGGACAGGCCCCCTTCACATGGGGACCAGTATGGCCTTCCTTCCCTCCACCCTGGTGTAGAAGCCCTGTGGCTCTTTCCTCTGGCGACCTCACGCCCAAATGTGTCCCTTCCACCACCCAGTAGATACGCTACGGCACCCAGCGCTTCACCAGGGAGAGGAGAGTGGCTGTGGACACGGCTCCTCGGAGAGTGGGGCAGGGGTCACCCTATCGAGCAGCCAGCCGGGAGGAGAGAGGGAGCTTGGCTTCAGGGTGGAGACCAGTTTGGGGGAGTTTCCTTGTCCAGACATTCAAACCCCGGCGGCTCCGGAGGAGGCAGCCCAGAGCGAGTTAACAGAGCAGGCCTCCCTCTGGCCTCTGTTCCTCAGCGGCAGCTGGCAGCATGGGGCTGCCTCTGGGCCCTGGACTCGCCCCTGGGGAGCTGCTGAGGCACCTGCGGGGACATGACAGGGAGGCACTCCACTTCCGCCTCCTGAGGGTTAGGAAGGTAATAATGAGCATCAAGGCGTTTCCCTCATTTCAAAGGGAGTGAATGGGCAGGAGAGAATGGCACCTGGACGCGCTACCCATCCTGGTTCCCGGCAGGCAGCTGGGGGATTGCAGGTTGTGGGAGGACAGGGCTGGGCCTGGTGGAGCACAGATGTCTGGAATAAGAGGACCATCTCAGGGGAGCGCTGACTTGGCTGTGCAAGGAGAAGCAAGCGGCCCACAGCTCCGGGGGCCTCTGAACCCAGCAGACAAGTCCAAGGACAGGTCCCGGAGGCCCAGGACACGTGCAGGACACGCACACTCATGCTCTCACACCACCCACAGGGCACATATGCGCATGCTTACACAGGCTGAGTCTCCTGGCAGGCACATGTCCCATAAGCACACAGAACACGCTCAAGTCCAGAAACACACACATACAGAAGCACAGATGTGTGCCTCACACATAGACACGGGCACACACTCATACAGCCACACACACAGTAGCGCCCACATGGGCACCACGGAGGTGACAGGAGCACGCACAGGCTCAGACACACACTCACACATGCCCAGGCACCCATGAAGGAGATACACACGCAGGCACAACAGGGACTGCATGTGCACCGACACACACACACACACACACACACACACACACACACTCCCTGTAACTCAAACTCCAGCTGCCCAGGCTGTGTTCCTGGCCGACCGCCCTTAGTCATTCCCTCTGGCTGCAGCCCAGCCCTCCCGCTGCTCCGCCCAGACCCAGTGGTCAGATAAATTCCTCCCCTTTGCCCCCGGCCCGCACAGCCTCCCAGGAACTTCCTGCCTTTCACTCTCACTACCGCTCAGCTCCCCTCCTCTGCCCTCTCCGGGCAGACCCAGCAGGACCCACACGTGCCAGCCAGCAGCATGGGTAAGGAGGGGCCTCTGCACCAGCCCCTGGGCCACCTGTAGGAAGTGGCAGAAACCTGGTGGGGGGAGAAGGGGTGGCTGGCGCACAGCTGGCCAGGGAACAGAGGGCTGGATCCGGATCCTCTGTCCCCTCCTCCTTCCCACACCTGGAGGCACTGGGAAGGAGGGCAGAGGGAATGCCGCCTGGGGACAGGGCACCTTTCTGCAGCTGAGAAGATCAGGTCTGGGCACTTGGGAGTGGACCCTCTGTGCCCCCGACAGTCCCCGTAAGAGGCACGATCCCGATTCCAGCCCCGGGCCGGCTTCTGTCCTCGGGGAGCACGGAACCCGGGCCTGCAATGCATAGGCTTGCTCTCCAGCTGCCCCCAAATCACCAGTCCCTCTTGGGGGAGCGGGAAGCCCACGGTCCCTCCCAGGGGCCTGCTGCCGCCTCCCCACCACCCTCTCAGTCTCTAAGTCCTCCCCTTCCCCACTCCATGGGAATGGGCTGAGGAGGAGTTTGGGTCTGGCTGCAAGTGTCCAAGTCCTTGTCCTGGGCTGTTTCCCGGGCTGGCGGGATGCCCAGCAGGCAGCCTGGCCCTGGGAAAACTTAATGAACGTCCCTGGCTTCATCTCAAGCCCAGAGATGTTGGGAGGTCTGGCCTGAGATGCTTAGAGAGGGGTGGGTTGCAGGGAGGCCATGCTGGTGGGACCACCTCCTCCGTACCTTCGCTCTCAGCCTCTGCCTGGCTTGGCGGGGCTCGCCTCGCTGTCTTCACATCTGGAGGATGGAACCTCCTTCCCTCTCTGCGTCCAGACCCCCCTCCCCCTCCCCCTCGTCTTCCCGGCCACTTTCTGACCGCCTGGTTGTGTAACAGAACCACTCCCCTTAATTCCTTTGGACGGGACCTCTCTCACCCTGCCCCTGCCTCCCACTTCCCCCCACCCACCCCACTCAGGGTACCAAGTGAGAATCTGCCTGAGATTCTCTCCCCCCCTTCCTGGGACCTCCCCATATTAAATCAGGAGTGTCTCTTCTTTTTTTCTCTTTTTTTTCTTTTTTTTAAAATATATTTTATTGATTTTTGTACAGAGAGGAAAGGAGAGAGATAGAGAGTTAGAAACATCAATGAGAGAGGGTCATCGATCAGCTGCCTCTTGCACACCCCCTACTGGGGATATGCCCGCAACCAAGGTACATGCCCTTGACCGGAATCGAACCCGGGGCCCTTCAGTCCCCAAGCCGACGCTCTGTCCATTGAGCCAAACCGGTCTTGGCAAGAGTGTCTCTCCTTAACAAAAGTCCTCCTGCACACAGTTTTATTTGACCTTTGTTGCCACCTAAAGGAGGAGGTTGGAGATTTGATCACCCACTTTTATTTTTTATTATTTTTTAAAATATATGTTATTGACTTTTTTTTTTTACAGAGAGGAAGGGAGAGGGATAGAGAGCTAGAAACATCGATAAGAGAGAAACACCGATCAGCCGCCTCCTGCACACCTCCTACTGGGGATGTGCCCGCAACCAAGGTACATGCCCTTGACCGGAATCGAACCTGGGACCCTTCAGTCCGCAGGCTGACGCTCTGGCCACTGAGCCACACCGGCCATGGCTATCACCCACTTTTAGCAAGGGAAAGGGAGGAGGCGGAGAGAGTAGACATCACACCTGGATTCTCAAACGCTGCAGCTGCCTCTCGGCCGGCCGCCTAAGCCCTTGGCAGCTGCGAGGAGTGGGACCTGCTCCCTGGCTGAAGGCCTGGGCCTGGCACCGTGCAGGCTCCGCCCTGGCTACTTCCGGCTCCCCAGCTGTTAGGACACCGGGCAGACTGGGCCCGGGGACAGGCAGGAGTGCCCGGGCCTGAGTGCTCCGCGCAGGGATTTCCTTCAGCCTGCAGCTGCCCCTGTGGGATCCCTCAGCCCTTCCTCCTGGCCAGGCCCGAACCCTGATGCCTGACGCCAGGGCCCTGCAGCCCTCCTTCCCATAGATCAGACTTTCTTCCCATAGATCCATGTGGCTCCTCTTGCCAGACTTCAGGGGCCAGGAGAGCCCCTCCCTACAGCCCTGGGGCGTGGGCCGAACCCTCTCTTGCGCGTCTGAAAAACGGGGGCCATCCCGGGGTTAAGCCGGTCTAAGGACATCCCGCATCCCGGAAACCTCCCACGTCAGCCTCCTAAGCCCCACCAGACCTGATGGACCAGTTATATAACCGAGGCACTGGCCAAGCCTGGGTCGGGACCGCGAGGGGAGTGTCCCAGAGCCTGGAACAGACCTTTTGGGGAAGGAAGTGAACAGCACCACCCTGAGCCTTGGACTTGAGGGCCGCTCCTGGGGAACATCCAGTTTTCCCTGGCTCAGCCCTCTCGGTTACTTCCTGCAGAAGCAGATGTGGGGAGGCTAAGTCATGTGCCTCTTGCTCCCGTGTTTACTGCATGACCAACGGAAAAGGGGACCCAAGCCAAGAGCATAACCACTGCACCCTCCAGCCTCCCCTGCCCTGGTCCTCCCCCTGCCCTCCCCTGGGTCGTGTTGAGTGTCTGTCCACCTTTGGGTCACATGTCTACAGCCCTTCTGGTCCCACCCAGCCCCGTCAGGGCTTTGAGGTGCGGAGAGGATGATTGGAGGGGCTTGGAGCAGGTCAGGACCTGGGACAGCAATGTACCGCGCCAGCACAGCCAAGGGTTGGGCAGAGCCTGAGGGAGGATGGTGAAGGATGTAGAAAAGACAGACAAAAAGAATAAGCCGGGGTGGATCTCCTGGGCCTGGCGAAGGCCACAGAGAACAGATCCAAAGGGCAAGCTGAGCCTTTATTTTGCCGTCAGAGATAGACCAGGGAGTGGTCGCCGGAGTTACGCGTTCTTGCGCGGTTCACTTGTTTTGGCTGCACCTCCCACAGCCCATTAGCTCATTAGCTACCCAGATAAGATCTAGGGAGCATAAGGACCAGTTTAGTTGTGCTGAGCAGGCTGTGCCCTCTACGCTGGGACTTGTTGGTGGCTTTGCAAACCGGTCAGTCCGTTGGTCCGAGGCTTAACCCTAGAGCCGTCTGCCTTGGCCACGGTAGGGCGTGGGTGGCAGCTGGTAAGGAGGAACCTTCGCCCTCCGGGGTGTGGCTCACCCCCATGCCCATTGTTTCCGCAGCCACCAAGTGCGGGAGCTGTGGACCCGGCTACCCCTCTCCCCTAGAGGCCATGAAAGGTAAGGGGGCGATGTTGGGAGACTCGCCACCTTGGGAAGGAACTCTGACAGCCAGCGCCCTCTACTGACGATGCTACAGCTGCTGGGGGTCGGGGGTGGGGAGCACAGCCAGCACTGTCCCTGCCTATTCCTCTCCACCCTACCATCCCCCCCCACCCCCTTCCCCCGCTTTCTCCCCGCAGGGCCCCGGGAGGAGATAGTCTACCTGCCCTGCATTTACCGAAACACTGGCATTGAGGCCCCGGATTACCTGGCCACGGTGGACATTGACCCCAAGTCTCCCCAGTATTGCCAGGTAGGGGGGGGGGGGGCTTGGGCAGCCAAGTACCCCACTGTGCTTGCTGCAAGCCCTGGCCCCAGGATGCCCTGCCCCAGCTCCACGCTCCCTCGTCCTCCTGTCCACTGCACAGGGCACCCAGAGGTGCGAGGGGAGTGCCTGCACGGCATTGCCAGCCAAAGCGGGCACCTAGTCCCTGGGGAGCAGAGGCGTGGCCTGGCTGAGCACCGCCCTCTGCCGCACCCCCGCCCCCAGGTCATCCACCGGCTGCCCATGCCCCACCTGAAGGATGAGCTGCACCACTCGGGCTGGAACACCTGCAGCAGCTGCTACGGGGACCGCAGCAAGGCCCGCAGCAAGCTGGTGCTGCCCAGCCTCATCTCCTCCCGCGTCTACGTGGTGGATGTGGGCACCGAGCCCCGCGCCCCGAGGCTGCACAAGGCATGTCCTCTGCCCCTGCATCCTCCACCCTGGGCAGCCTCAATCAGCACCACGGGGCAGTGGGAGAGCGTTTGCCCAGCCAGTTAGGAGCCCATGGCTTTCCTTAGGCAAGAGCCTCCCATCCTCCCCTCAGCACTTGGCTGCATTTCCTCCTCAGCGGGCGCCGGCTGCCGGCTGCTGGTGTATCATGGACCCCGGCATGACCCGTCCCACAAGCAGCTTAAGGCCCCACGGGGCTGTGAGTGCCTCAGGACAGAGAGAGGGGGCAGAGCCAGTGCCTTCTGCCTCGGGAGTTGGCATTCTCTCTGACGCTCTCTGGCTGCTAAGTGACCAGACTGGACCCCTGCCACATTCACACAGGGAAACGGTGTTGTGTTGAAGGAAGAGTCTGCTCAGCAGGAAGAAAGGGAGGGGGGGGGAGCAGTGAGCAGGGAAGGAGTGGGTAGTGGGGCCTCCGGGCCGGTAAGATTCTGCTGCCGTGCCTTCCCCCTCTCCAGGTCATTGAGCCCGAGGACATCCACGCCAAGTGTGGCCTGGGCTACCTTCACACCAGCCACTGCCTGGCCAGCGGGGAGGTGATGATCAGCGCCCTGGGAGACCCCAAGGGCAATGGCAAAGGTAGCTGCTGGCCCTGCAGCACATGGCGGGGGGAGGGGGGCAGGCCCCAAGCTGGGGGAGGATGGGATAACCTTCCAGGGAGAACCAGGGGGCTTGGTCGCACCGGACATTTAAACCACAGTCAAGTAACTTCAGCTCTTTCCATTGTTTCTGTGACAATGAGCCTTGACTAATGAATCCACTTCAAAGTTACGGTTAGAACAGCCTGCCATGGGGCGTGTGTGCCCACAGACAGGGCCCCCGAGAACACACTCATTTCAATCAGCCTTTGTGAAGTATGAGCAAACGTCCTCACAGCTCTTGGGATCCTTGATCTCTACCTTTGCTATGCCTGTTACGGTGATCGGAGCTGACACTTATAAAATGCCCCATGTGCAGACACAGCCCGGGAGATGGGGGGGCTACTGTGAGCTTTAGGAAGCCAGCGAGGGGGGAGGTGGGTGGGGGGACCAATTGGAGTGAAATATCCGTTAGGTCATCGAGTTGATGTCCCTGCACTTGGTCTACTTAACTGCTTTTTCCAGGAGACGGTAGGACCATGACATTCCTAGACTTTTTTTTTTTTTTTAAAGAATTGTTTATTGATTTTTAAGGTAGAGGGAGAGAGAGGAAAAAAGCATCAATGAACTGTCTCTTGCATGCAAGCAACCCACGCATGTGCCCTGACCAGGAATCAGACCGGCAGCTTTTTTGTGCAAGGGATGACGCCCAGCACACTGAGCCACACTGGCCAGGGCCACATTCCTGCATTTAATGACATTAGGAGTAGACATCGAATTGTATTTAAAAAAAAAAAAAAAAAAAAAAGCCAAAATCGGTTTGGCTCAGTGGATAGAGCATCGGTCTGCGGACTGAGTGTCCTGGGTTCGATTCTGGTTATGGGCATGTACATTGGTTGCGGACACATCCCCAGTGGTGGGTGTGCAGGAGGCAGCTGGTCAATGTTTCTAGCTTTCTATCCCTCTCCCTTCCTCTCTGTAAAAAAAAAAAATCAATAAAATATATATATATATTTTTAAAAATCAATAATATATATATATATATAAATAATATATATATATATTTTTTTAAAGGAAGTATCAACCTGTCATACACAGCAAGGAAAAAACATTAGATGTTCACGTTGACGTACACATAAATATAATCTGTCTGCTCTGTAAAAAAACAAAGTGAGCAGACTGGAGCTGAGACCCCAGCAGGAATCGAACCCCGAGAGTGGGAGGCGAGACGAGAAGCACAGGGTGCAGAGTCCCAGGAGGCCTCGTGGCTCAGCGGGAGGAAAACACCCCCTGTGGTCTGGGAGAGGGATGAGGGATGAGGTGGGATGTGAGGTAGGGGCATCGAGTAAGTCCCTCCCTCCCACCTGACACTCTTGGTGAGGCCCCTTGGACACGTAACTTGAAGGAGCTGCCAATCCCAGTGGGAGGAGCGGGTGCCAGGAGGTGGGCTCGGTGCCTATCGGCCATGCCTGGGGCGAGGCTGGGCAGGGGTCCTCTGTCTGGACTGCCCCTTCTGCCACCTCCTACTTGCTTTCCTGCTCAGGGGGGTTCGTGCTGCTGGACGGAGAGACCTTCGAGGTGAAGGGGACGTGGGAGAAGCCAGGGGGCGCTGCGCCTCTGGGGTATGACTTCTGGTACCAGCCTCGGCACAACGTCATGATCAGCTCCGAGTGGACAGCTCCCAATGTTCTAAGAGACGGCTTCAACCCCGCGGATGTGAAGGCTGGTGAGGATTCCCCTGGGGAGGGCTGGGGCGGGGGGTGTCAGCAGGAGCGTGGGCACAAGCCCTCTTTCTGCTCCCAAACCCCACTCCCCGACCCCTCCCTTCCCTCACGTGGACCCCAGCCTCTTGGGTGAAGGGGTAGGAGGTGCTGAGTGCTCTGATCGCTCGGGGTGTCCCGATCCCACCAACCCCATATCCAGCTTCCTGCCCAGGGCTGGGCCCCAGCTGTTGCCCATGCCCTCCTGCCCCACCCCTGAGCCCGCCCTCCGGCCCCGTGCCCACGCAGGACTGTACGGGAGCCACCTGTACGTGTGGGACTGGCAGCGCCACGAGATCGTGCAGACCCTGACCCTGCAGGACGGGCTCATCCCCCTGGAGACCCGCTTCCTGCACAACCCCGCCGCTGCCCAGGGTTTCGTGGGCTGCGCCCTCAGCTCCAGCATCCAGCGCTTCTTCAAGAACGAGGTGCCCCGTGGGCCCCGGGCGGCCATCCCGTCGTCCCCTCTGGCCAGGCTTCTGGAGACATGATGCTCTCTTCTCCCTGGGAGTAACCAGGCCTCTCTGAGCCTGGCTCGACCCGCCAGAATTCTCCGGGGCCCAAGACATGGCCGCCGGCCTGCCTCTTTACTCTCAGTCCTTCACTATGCCCTCCTTAGCCCTACCTGGCCATCGTTATCCATTCATTTATTCAACAGAAGACGGTGTGAGCTTGTAGGTCCGCACCGGGCCAGATGCTGCTGGGCATACAGACTTTTTTTTTTTTTTTTTAATAAGACTTTTCTTTTTTAATATATTTAATTGACTTTTTTTACAGAGAGGAAGGGAGAGGGATAGAGAGCTAGAAACATCGATGAGAGAGCAACATCGACCAGCTGCCTCCTGCACACACACACACACACACCCCCACTGGGGATGTGCCCAAAACCAATGTACATGCCCCTAACCAGAATCGAACCTGGGACCCTTCAGTCTGCAGACCGACGCTCTAGCCACTGAGCCAAACCGGTTTCAGCATGGGCATACAGACTTGATTCCTGCCTTAAGGAGCCTGCCCGCCCCGGAACCAGACCCCAGTGGCAGGGAGGCCCTGTTTTCCCGCCGTCTCCCTGCAGTCATAGGCCCCGGGGAGACCCCGATCTGCCCCCACCCAACTCTGACAGGCTCCCCTCTCCTCCTCCTAATCCCCGTGCAGGGAGGCACCTGGTCGGCAGAGAAGGTGATCCAGGTGCCGCCCAAGAAAGTGAAGGGCTGGATGCTGCCTGAGATGCCAGGTGGGCGCCAGGCGTGGGTGGGTGGGAACCGGGAGGTTGATATTGGCCCGGGGAGCGGGAGTCCTCAAAGCCTCTGGCCTGTGCCCCCTCCCCCCCAGGCCTGATCACTGACATCCTGCTGTCCCTGGACGACCGCTTCCTCTACTTCAGCAACTGGCTGCATGGGGACCTGCGTCAGTACGACGTCTCTGACCCCCAGCGGCCCCGGCTCACCGGACAGGTGGGAGCCCTAGCGGCCGGGGGTGGCGTGGGGGGGGGGAGGGGGGGAGAGGGAAGGGGAGAAGAAGAGAAGCTGTCCAAGGAAAAGGGTGTGAAGGGGCTGGGGGTGATAAGGGAGGTGCAGGAAAGGCAAGAATGGGGGCTGAGGCTGAAACCGGTTTGGCTCAGTGGATAGAGCGTCGGCCTGCGGACTGAAGGGTCCCAGGTTCGATTCCGGTCAAGGGCATGTACCTTAGTTTTGGGGGCACGTCCCCAGTGGGGGGTGTGCAGGAGGCAGCGAATCGATGTTTCTAACTCTCTATCCCTCTCTCTTCCTCTCTGTGAAAAATCAATAATATATATATATATATATATATATATATATATATATATATATATGAATGGGAGCTGAGGGATGGTGCAGGCCAGGACTGCGGGGAGACCTGACTTCCCTGGGAACGGGAGGGAGGGAGGGAGGGAGAGACCCTGGCTGAGGCAGATGGCTCTTTCTGCGCTGCCATCCCACCTTCTCTGCCCCTCCCTGCCCACCCAGCTCTTCCTGGGGGGCAGCATCGTGAAGGGGGGCCCCGTGCAAGTGCTGGAGGACCAGGAGCTGAAAGGCCAGCCAGAGCCCCTGGTGGTCAAGGTGAGGCGCTCTCCCCGCCCGCGGGCACCCTCAGGTCCACGCCGCAGGGGTATGAGGGAAGGCAGGGGGAGGGGGGAGCATCTCAGCAAGCTCTCGGGGTTTGGGGGGGGGGTGCCTGGGATCCCCTCCAGGGCCCTGGGGGCTGACCCCTGGTTTTCCCAAGGGGAAACGGGTGGCTGGAGGCCCTCAGATGATCCAGCTCAGCCTAGACGGGAAGCGCCTCTATGTCACCACGTCGCTGTACAGTGCCTGGGACAAGCAGTTTTACCCTGATCTCATCAGGTGAGACGCAGGCAGCTTGGGCTTACCTCCCCAGGCCTCCCCTCCCCCGACCCCTCCCCAGAGGTCTCAGGCTTTCTGAGGATTCCTCAGGCACCCACCTGCCCCCTCCACACAGACCCTGCTCCCTCCTCAGGACCCTACTGTGCACCCTCAATGCCTTGGGGGAAGGGGATGTCCCCCTCTGACCTCTCTCTTCTCCCCGCCCCCTCCCATCGCCACCAGGGAAGGCTCCGTGATGCTGCAGGTTGATGTGGACACAGTAAAGGGAGGGCTGAAGTTGAACCCCGACTTCCTGGTGGACTTCGGGAAGGAGCCCCTCGGCCCGGCCCTGGCCCATGAGCTGCGTTACCCCGGGGGTGACTGCAGCTCTGACATCTGGCTCTGAAGCGCACCCCTCAGAGCCAGCCCCCCGCCACGTTCTGAGCCCTCTCCTCCCCGGGGACCTGGCTTCCCTCTGCTCCCTGGGCCACCGCCCGTGGCAGCTGGCCCTCCTGAAGCCAGAGGGAGGCTGGCGAAAGGCATGGAGCCGTGTCTCCAGGCACCAACCACTGCTATGTGCTGCTCACCGTGCTGTCTCTACGTGAGCTCTTGAGATTATTTCACCAAAAAAAATAATAATAATAAACCTATTCCTTAGGTCACCGTGTCTCGGAGGTCATGGGGCCTGTGGTTTCTCTCCTTATCTTGCACAGGAACGTCCTGAAGGGGACTCAGGGGTCACATTCACGGTGACAACGTGCTGCTTCTATTGCTGACAGAACCACGGGCCCTACAACCCGTGTGTCACGTCTCACTCATCCACTAGGGGGCAGTGCCTCGCAGCACACAACAGTGACATTGATCCACTTCCCATTTTTACAAGTTCCCCTCCTTCAGAAGGTGCTTGATAAACGTCAGGGAATATTTATTTGATGTTCCTCCTCACCTTCATTTGGAAGCTCGTGAAGACCCCCTCCAAGTAACAAAAATAAGATGATCCAGCCCCAGGCAGACAGGAAGATAACCATGAACAGTGTGTGGTCTCAGAACTCCAAAGAAAATTCTAAGGCAAGGATGGTCAAGGGAATCGAGGCAAAAAAAAAATAAAAAAAATAAAAAAAGATAGGGTGTACACGAAGGATGAAGGTGACAGGAATAGAATCTGCATGAGATCATATGTAGATGTAAGACGTGTTTCTTATAATTTACATCTCTTTAAAATAATGGCAGATTTGGGGGCTTAAAGCATATGTCAAGGGCAACGCATGGCGACTATAGCATAGGGGCAGACGGTGGTAAGTTACAGATAATATGCTCTAGAGCCTAAAGCAGCCGCTGAAATAACAAAGGAGAGAGTGATATGTAAGAAGTCCACAAAAGGAGGGAAAATGGAGTCTTGCAGGGCACACGTCAACACTGCTTTAGAGCTATTGCTCTTTCTACCCGATGGAAATGCTTGTGTAAAGATGATGAGAACACCATTATTTGTAAACCCATAATGACAGAAACCAACTTGGGAAGAAGTTAGTGGAGGAAGTTCTCTTTTCTGTGATTGTTGACAGAGAGAGGTAACAAAGATTTGCCTTTTGCTTTTAAAGGATAAGGAAGGCGTCCCTGGGTGGGCTCGAACCACCAACCTTTCGGTTAACAGCCGAACGCGCTAACCGATTGCGCCACAGAGACCTATGGAAGTTAGCATCTCCATGTCGGAGGGATCAGGTCCTCAGTCCCGGCTAGGTAGAGCTCTAGCTTTGTGGGTGGACAGAGGGCCGTGCGGACTCCCAAAACCTCAGAAAACCGAAGACGTGGAGTCCGCGCTACGTGCTGGTTGCGTCTGAAACCCCTGCTTGGGTCCATCTGAAGGCAACGGAGCAGCCGAATCACCCGCCCGGCTCTGCTCCACGGGCGCCTCCCATCCTGAGCCCCAGGGAGGGCCAGGGGGATGCGGGCAGGGAAAGCCGTGGGCCTCCTGACTGCGGGGGCGGGGCGGGGTCCAAGGAGGCAAACGTGAAAAGGCGGGAGCTCCTTCTACGTTGGGCATTTTACATTTGCCGTATCACGCAATCATTTAAAAGTAATTTTGCAAATAATAATAATAATAATAATACTTTTGCACTGTTTCATTTTGGATATTCCCCATTGCTCATGGCTTTATGGTCTCTAAAAGTTTTCCTGCAATATCTGTTCATTCCATCCAGTGAATTTATTATCTCTAAAGATTGACTTTACACGTTCGCACATGTTCCGCGTGTTTTTTTTAAAATATATATTTTATTGATTTTCTTAGAGAGAGGGATAGAGTTACGTAGAAACATCAATCAGCTGCCTCCTGCATGCCCCCTACTGGGGATGTGCCCACAAACCAAGATAAATGCCCTTGCCCTGAATCGAACCTGGGACCTTTCAGTCCGCAGGCCGTCGCTCTATTCACTGAGCCAAACCGGTTTCGGCTGTTCTGTGTTTCTAATGTACTCTTTGGACATGTGCAAGAGACATGGTACCAGCATGCATGTCCTCCCAGCTGCTGTTAGCATCGTGTCGGTTACGGCTGGGTCTCGTGCACCGATGATGCTTCCCTGGGCATGCCTGGCATTCTCTGACTGGATGGCCGGTGTTGCCATAGTGTACCTTCTTGCGGACTGGCTATGTTGGTGGTGCTATGAATCTTATGGGGCTTTGTTCTGGGGTCCAGTTGAGTGACTTGTCCACAGCTTGGTCCGTTGGGGACTTACTTGTTTGAGCTTGTACAGCCTCCCACAACTGAGGGGAGACCTCCCTGAGCGCTCTGCGCAGGGGCCCACGCATTGTGAGTAGTCCTGTCAGGCTGGTGTGAGCACCACCACTGGAACTTAGGATCTCTGCAGAAGTTTCTTTCTTTAAATTTTATTTTTTTTTTAATTTTTATTGATTTCAGAGAGGAAAAGAGAGGGAGAGAAAGACAGAAACATCAATGATGAGAATCACCCATCGGCTGCCTTCTGCATGCCCCCTCCACCCACCCCACATCAAGCCCGAGACCTGGGCATGTGCTCTGATCAGAATTGAACCCAGGACCCTGCAGTCCACAGGGCCATGTGCTGTCCACTGAGCCACACCAGCTAGGGCTCTACGGAAGTTTCTTCCCTTGGCCTCAGGCAGTCTCTTCACAAGCACGTCCTGGTCAGTACTCTGCGTGTACCTGAAGGAGACTTTCCACAGGCCCGGATTCTCCTGTCCGTTGCTCTCCCCTCTGTGGGGCAGGAGAGTAAAACATGAGGAGAATGCTTTGGCAAGAGGACGGGGAAACTGAGACAAGACAGCCCATTCCAGCCGGCCTCAACCAGCAGCACCCAGACTCTCCTGCCCCTCCTCCCTTACACGTGCACTGCATTAAGTATGAAGCCCTCAGGACAATGAGGATCTGATCAGCATCAAATAATCAACGCGTTCCATCTGCTGCCTGCAGAGACAGCGTTTTGTTCAAACTAGAGAGAACGTCTAGGCTTCCGTCGTGTAGGCTTCTGGGCCAGAAAAGCACCCAAACCAGACCAAGTGACACCACGACTAGGATCAGGACCAGGTGTAATGACTCCCCCCCCACACACATATACACACACACCCTAGTACCAACCAATCAGTAGACACCGGGACCCTGACCCTATCTGGGCTCATTTGGATGAATCAGCATATTAAAGGACACACCTGGAAAGCTGATGAATGTTCTATGTGTTTCCCAAACTTCTCTCATGATGAGAGTCACCTGGTGGAGTTGTTAAACTACAGATTCCTGAATCCCAACTAAGAAGTGCTAGAGCACTAAGTTAAGTATACAATTTTATCTATAGGTTCCCCAAAATTCTAGTTTAGCACTTCTTAGTTGGGATTCAGGAATCTGTAGTTTAACAACTCCACCAGGTGACTCTCATCATGAGAGAAGTTTGGGAAACACTGGCTCTAAGGTAAGTAGTTTGAGGTTAACAATTGCAGTTTCTGGGTGAATTTTATCCCAGGATAAACAAGGAATCTTGGAAAGGGTCTTTATCAGAGTTGTGTGTGAGCTGACAAAGCAGATTTTTTTTTTTAAATATATATTTTATTGGTTTTTCACAGAGAGGAAGAGAGAGGGATAGAGAGTTAGAAACATCGATGAGAGTTATCCACCAGCTGCCTCTTGCACACCCCCTACTGGAGATGTGCCTGCAAGCCAGGTACATGCCCTTGACCGGAATCAAACCTGGGACCTTTCAGTCCACAGGCCGACGCTCTATCCACTGAGCCAAACCAGTTTCGGCCAACGCAGATATTTTGATATTGGAAATTTTAATGTCCTCACTTTGTGTTGCTTTCTGATGTCTTGAGCCTTTGACCAGAATGTCTGTTGGTTTGTGAGCTCCATCTTCCCAAGACAACTGAGCTGTTATGCAGTTTGATATCATGAGACATTGGTACCTCAGTAGTAAGGGAATCACCCTCAAAAGGCATTGGTGGTTCAGTGGTAGAATTCTTGCCTCCCACGCAGGAGACCCGGGTTCAATTCCCGGCCAATGCATCTTGTGTGACTTCCTTTTACTGCCTGACAACTGGGCCCGCCAAGGAGAGATCCTGAGAGGGAGCGCTCTGGTCTGCATGGATCTGGTGAAAGGCTCCTAGAACCTACACCAGACACCCTGAGCCACACCCTGAGCCTAATGTTAACTTCCTTAGCCTTGGGGGCCTCTTGTGTGACTTCCTTTTACTGCCTGACAACTGGGCCCGCCAAGGAGAGATCCTGAGAGGGAGCGCTCTGGTCTGCATGGATCTGGTGAAAGGCTCCTAGAACCTACACCAGACACCCTGAGCCACACCCTGAGCCTAATGTTAACTTCCTTAGCCTTGGGGGCCTCCGAGTGCCTCCCGGGCCCCTCCCTGTCCCAGGAAGGATCCTGTGTAGCTGGCCATGTGTGTCCACAGTGTTGGTCTGAAATTTATATTTTTTAAAAGGGAAAAACGAACGACAGATTCTGGGAGCAATTTTTCAGCTTTCTTTCATTTCTCTTGAATCCTTGGAACAGATTCCGATTTGAGAATGCTAATGTGATTGATTTACAGACTACAGTGATTCATTTTCATCCAAGTCTTTGGAGAAGCCCCCTAACCCACAATGGTTTTAAATACCTGCGTGGCTTAAGGAGTCGGGGGTTCGATTCCTGGTCAAGGGCATATACTTGGGTTGCAAGATCCCCGCAGCCCCCCTCCCTCCTCCTTGGGGCACATGCGGGAGGCAACGGTAATGTGTCTCCCTCACATCTGATGTTTCTCTCTCTCTCCATCCCTTCCACTTGCTCCAAAAACCAATGGAGAATGGGGATTAACAAAACAAAACAAAAACACCAAAAAAAAAGTTTCCTGAGTCTGAGATTGTCTCTCTACATTTTAAGTATAAAACAA